AAAAAATTGTGAAAGAGATAAGATTCAATACTGTTGCCAAATTAGTGAGCGCTTGTATATATAGTTCATAGACTTGGAGACTGTGTCACAAAAGGGATTTCCAATAGGCTACTGTAGACTTTTATCAACCTCTGACTTTGCTAATACGATAGTGGAGATTATATGGCCGACCAGAAATGATCGGCAATAGTGAATTCTGTGAATTAGCGAACTAAGTAGGTGGTAGCAAATAAGGATCTATGCGATACATACGCTGAGAAGACTGTTGGGTGTCGTCATACATCGAGGGGGGCCCGACTGAAGAGTGATGAGTTGGTGACGATTTTGAATGTAACACGGCAATCTTGGAGACAGACAAAGCAGATAACACAGCACATAATGAAATTGAGATGAGGCCCTATACTTCACGCGGAATACAAAGGAATAATGGTACTTTTAAGCTTTGATTAATAAATAAATAGTTTCCTGAATACAGGGGGACGTATTATTATTTTATAACTGTTTCCATTAAGTTCCGAGTGGGGAAGACAAGGCTACAACAGAATATTTCTATTTCACCCTGTTTTCTGCAGTCCTCTTCAAATGTCTCCATGATTTCCCATAAGATCTCATCTCCTCCCCCTTGCCACACAATCTACTCCATGTCACAATCAGACAATCATCAAACTCATCATCTCCCAGTCAGTTGTCACTTTGATATTATTCGCCGGTCTCTTCAGTATGTTTCCAATCTATGTTCATTTTCTTCAGCATACATGTTGAGCAATAAGTTCTTGACTGGTTCGTTTCGAGAGTTTCTTGTTCCTAATTTTTTTCTGGCAAGCAAAGCAAACTTTCATTTCTCTTAAGTCTGTGTGGAGGTCAACAGCACTCCTCAGCATGAAAATGAAAATAAGATCCGGATTTTCAACTCCAATGTGAATTCAGTGCTACTTTATGGATCAGAGACTTGCACTGCGCGTCATGAAGAGCACTTCAAACAAACGATAGACCTTCATCAACATCTGTCTTTGCTCAATACTACTCAAGATCAGACAGCCAGCCAGAAAAGATCAGCAACAGGGAGGGATCTCTGGCAATGAGCGAACCAACCCAGTAGGAACCGATTGTGCAACAAATGTGCAGGAAGAATTGGGAGTGGATTGGTCATACTCTAAGAAAACAAATCATCATCATCAAGTGACATCTATCACACGCCAGACCATCGCTCGAGTGGAACCTGATTGGGAAGCGTCGAGTTGTTTGTAAGTGCGATGGTGACATAGAGGAAGAGATGATGCGTGTGGGATGAAGACATGTGGGCAGACGTGGAGCCAGGTAATGAAGACGTTGGCAGAGAACCGAACGCAATGGAGACGTGCGTCTAAAGCCCTTATGTTCCTTCCTAGCTGACCATCCGATCTCCAGGATGAAATAGAACCTGTTAGAATTACATATTCTGACCGATTCAGAAGAACAAACTTGACATCGGTGTGTTGAAAATTCGGAATTTGTTTTGTTATACTGAGTGCATAACATTTCCAAACTAATTTTACATTGATGAAGGTGTTCCTTGACTTTCTGATTCTGGTTTCTAACATCCTTATCTGTGCCAACTGCCTACAGTTGAAATTAGGCTTTCGTAAATAATTAAACAAAGTGATTTCTTTTAAATTTCTTTCTACATGGGAACTACTCATGTTTATTTGAGCCATCTATATCAAAATTCGCATAAATTAGTTTTTTTTTCAGTAGAAAGTAATACTAATGTTTTAGATATCTGAGCAAAAACAATATGCATCGGTCACCACCACCACCAATAGGAGAAGTCTAAAGGAAGTGACCTCTTTCACTTATCTGGACAACATCTTTTGAACCATAGGTAGATGGCACAACTGAGGATATTAAAGGCAGATAAGATAGAAGGAGGAAGATAAACCTTCATTATATATTGAAATCGGTGTGGTGGCACACAGTGGTTAGGACTCTCACCGACCATACACATGGTCCGAGGTTCGATCCCCCGCCGACGCACACCTGATATCTATGGTCGGCCTGCAAAATTTGGCCTACCGATATCCATGTTGAAAATTCCATACTTGTACCAAAAAATACAGTGTGAAATCAAGCTGTAAATCAAAAATAAGAATTTTAAAAAAATTGTGAAAGAGATAAGATTCAATACTGTTGCCAAATTAGTGAGCGCTTGTATATATAGTTCATAGACTTGGAGACTGTGTCACAAAAGGGATTTCCAATAGGCTACTGTAGACTTTTATCAACCTCTGACTTTGCTAATACGATAGTGGAGATTATATGGCCGACCAGAAATGATCGGCAATAGTGAATTCTGTGAATTAGCGAACTAAGTAGGTGGTAGCAAATAAGGATCTATGCGATACATACGCTGAGAAGACTGTTGAGTGTCGTCATGCATCGAGGGGGCCCGACTGAACAGTGATGAGTCGGTGACGATTTTGAATGTAACACGCAGATCGTAATAAAGGAAAATGAAAGATTTTCGGCAATCGTGGAGAGAGACAAAGTAGATAACACAGCACATAATGAAATTGAGATGAGGCCCTATACTTCACGCGGAATACAAAGGAATAATAGTACTTTTAAGCTTTGATTAATAAATAAATAGTTTCCTGAATACAAGTATTGCCTTTAGAATTTCAGCTAACATGAATAACTATTATCTGCACATTTGATTTATGCTAGTCTCGTGTTACTATTTTCCTATTTCGTGAAGTGGTAGATGTTAGAATTAATGGGCTGACCATTAAATCGGGTCCCAGTGGCATAGTAGTCTACGAGTTCATCTTGTAACCACAAGGTCCTGGGTTCGAACCGTGGCGATGGGTGTGTATTGATGAGGAGCCCCCAAACTAGGACGAAACAGCCATATAGTACTTCCTGATGGTTTTCCAATGGTTTTCTAACTGATGTCAGCTCATGGTGAAATTCTCCAGCCGACTTCATTGTACCCATTTTATTTAATTGGGTTAGTAATAGAGCCGGATATGTACTTTTGTTGGTGAAGTTTTCGAGAGTAGAGGGGATTAACATCCTCCATTATGACTATATAACCAGGGGGTATCAGTCCTCTGGTAACAAACCAACCAAGAACCGATTGCCCAACAAATATGTAAGCGAAAATGGAGATAGATGGGTCAAGTATACCTTGAGGAGACCGTCGAATGACATCTCGTGAAATCCAGGCCACCGCTCAAGTGGAATCCCAATGGGAAGCAACGAATTGGTTGTCCTATGGTGCGAGGTTGACATGGAGGAGGGAGAGATGAGAGATTATGGGCAATCGTGTACCTTGCTGAAGAGGATAGAGGAAAATAGAAGAAAGTGGAGATGTGCTGCTCTAAGCCCTATGTTCCACTTGGTATCCAAGGGAATAATAATGACATGCAACATAACATCAGTTCCCTTTGGGTCACCTCTTTAATTTAAAACCTACAAGTCGACTGTCTTTAGTTACTGATTAAACCTACTCTAAATTTAAACAAGCATTTAAAACTTATGTCAAACTTTGGTCAGTGTGTATTCAGTCGAATTCGCCGACTAACAGCTACTGGCGATCGCGCTATATATCTAGGTAACTGTCAGAATTTTGAATTTATAGGTCGTTTTATTTTGTCTTAATGGCTAAGTGGTGGTATATGAGCTCACACAACAATGCGAATGTCCTAGGTTTGATCCCAACTGGGTTCATGAATGAAAAGTCCCAGTACTCCCTGATTATCAGTTCTATCAGTAAAGCATAGATGCACGAAGTTATATACTGACATGAACAAGCTGAACACCACTCACACAAACTAGTAATGTAAGTTTGCCAGCCAGATCAAAGCTATCTAAACATCGGATGTCCATTTCGCCCACAGTTCAGATCATTTCAATCTGGCTGGCGAGCAAACACTACTACTGGCTGATGTGAGTGGCGTCCAAATGTGTATGTCATTCAATCAATAGTATGAATTTTTAACAAACATTACATAATATATCGATATTCTGTAGTTTTATTTACCTCAGACTACGGTAACCTGATTATCCTCGATTGGATCTCTGATGAGGTAGTCATTATACACTGATAAAGAGTCTCAAGCTAGGATGAAATGCCTGTTCACTACTGTCTTCTTTTCAATGTTTCTCTACGACTAATATCGATCCGTAAACATTAGGTTATTTACGTGTGCCAGTTGGACTGACATTTTTCCTACATTATTATGATGTCATTGAGGAGAAAGTTATCTAGATTATGCGTTATCTAGGAATTTGGATTAATTCCAGTATTATAGATTTTATCACAAACCAGGCTTTATCAAGTTTCAGGTAATATATCCGATTGTAATTCTATCGTGATTATCACACTGGAGTACTTTTATTGGAATCCTTGGTTCAGTCAGATACGCAGATACGCCTTGCTGATGAGTGCTTAAAAACGGTCTCTGCTGAAGAGTCTCAAACTAGGACGAAACGGCTGTCCAGTACTCCCTGGTAGGTTTTCCAATGGTTCTCTAACTGATGTCGGCTCATGATGAAATCCTGTAACCAATCAACCAAATCCCTACAAACCAATACTTGATTATTATTATTATTATTATTATTATTATTATTATTATTATTATTATTCATTTTAATCTCTGATCCTGCACGTGTTGCACTTTCGACTACTGACAATCAAAAACACAAGTAGCAGATAAGAGATAAGGATGAGATTAGGGGAATTCGTTTATACAATGAAGTATGACTTCTCTATCCAAACATGAAATAGAAAAAAAATTCTTATCTCTGATTGGTTAGAATGTGATAGGGTATAGAGAAATTGAAATTTGAATTTCCTCACTAATGAGAAAAAAAGAAAGAAAGTTGAATCACTCTAACCCCCCCCCGCCCCGGTCCTTCCCTTAGGAAGCGGCAATTTATTGTGTGTGTGTCTCTCTCGCTCGCTGAACCAGTATATATCTATATAATGAAGGTATGAAAGAGGAGGGGAGGGGTGTTCACTGTGTATGCAATATTACATGGTAGTCATTATTTTGAATTTAACTAACACCCACCCCCACACACACAGACAAGTAGACACAGTGATTGGTAGACATACAAACATACAAAAGTATACTAACATGCTTAGGGTTAAAGAGAGATAGATAACTAAATAGCTAACTGACAACATCACAAGCAATGTAGAAAGGCAAAAACACACTAAAAGCCAGAAAACCAATCCAGCTTCAGGATTTAAAATAATGTATTCATCGCCGCCCCTCTCACACACACACACAACAAATAAATGCAATACATAATAGATATGCACATGACATCAAGCAATATAGTGTGTGATCAAAAAAGGATCAAGTGTACGCGTATGTGCGTTTAGTCTGTCTGCTTCAATAAGAAATTTCATCCCTTCTACGTGTGTATATTACATTATATTATACACCAAAGTTATATATATGTATATATTATTAATAAAATTTCTTGATCCAAATATAACAACAAGCATAACAGTCTTCTAATTCACTGCTACTAGCTTTCTGTACACACACCACAGAAGAAGCATCTAACCTTTTTGGCTGTTGTCGATTACACAACAAATCAAACTGGACGTCAGCATATTAATTCACTGATAAATTAATTAATCCATCAATTAATTAAAGATCACATTTCCGCTGATTTTGCTTTCTCTAATTAAATGACTGATCATAGTTCACATGATTTTCTTATGGAAACAGTACAACAACATAACAGTAATCACTTTACAACCCCGTCAATTCTTCATGGGACAACAACGAATCTAAGGTAAGCGATCATTCATTATAAACATTAATGTGCCTATTTTGCTAATGGTGTTGTCGTTGTTGTTGATGATGTTTATATACTTAATAATGTGATTGCCTCTAGAGGCGAAAAGATGAGCCCCAAAGTAGGATGAAAGATACAGTATCCATTCGTGGTAGCCAACAGCCACCAAGTTCGAACTTTTCGTCTCCATTTTTTGTTTTTGTTTTTGGATGTTTAATATGTGGGCTCCAGAGCAGTTAATCTACTATATAATGTAAGCTAATTTAGGGAATAATAGAGAAGATTTGTAGCTCAGGTGGATGATTTTCAAACTAATAGTGTTCTCTGAGCTGGTTGGTTTCGTGGCGGAGCTTTCGCCGTCCCCCTGCTGGACAACATCCCCCTTTAGAGCAATATTTAGCATTAAGTGAAATGATTTCAATTTCTTCATGAGTGATAGAATCATCTCTCCCGGTAACCATCTTTACAAATGTATTGACCATCTTCTATTGACTAGGATGGATTTTAAACTTTCTAGTCACCTACCCTACCCGATTTACTTTTTATTAGTTGGTGGAATATTTGGTCTATATTAACGTGTTTGTTAATCGCTGGCTGATTCGTTTGAGTACCAGGCTTGGCTTCTATGTTTGTCTGTCTGATTGTATTCGACATGGAGCTTTGCACAAATGTGCGGCAGTTCAAGTCGCCACACTTCGTGTAGCACACGAAGCACGAGAAGAAAGTACAAGAAAAGCTTCTATGAATTCCCTGACATTCTTCCTTGGTGTTTCCTCTGTCTAAGATTTCGACATTATCCCAGTTATCAGACTGATGTCCATAATTATCTACATGCCTTGATTGATATGAAAGAATACATACCGTGTCTTTTCGCGGGTGATTTGTGTTCTTGGATTCTGATTCGAAGGGGACGCCCACTCTGGCTGATGTAATGCCTGTTACAATTCATACAATTTATTTTGTAAATGGTATTAGATTTATCTCCTTTTTCTGTTGGGTGTGTCTTTCGGTTTGCATAATATCGAATTCAGTGATTTTACTGGCTTGTGTGCTATATCTATTTATATCGAACGGTTTCAGTATTCTAGTTGTTATTTCAGAGATATTTTTCATGTATGATAGTATGAATTTTCTTGTGTTCTTTGATGATGGTTCCTTGTTGGTGTTTTGATTCGACTTTAAACACTTTTTGATGAAATTTTGTGGACAACCACTCCTCTTGAAGACCGTTTGTAGGTATTTTTCTTCCATTCTTTTCAACTCTGGAGTGCTACAGTGTGTTTGAATTCGTTTAAACAATGTCTGCACACAGTTTCTTATATGAGTGAGTAATTGGATTATTGCTATTATAATTGACTATTTGATCTGCGTTCGTTGATTTTCTATATACTTGTGTTTCTAAATTTCCTGTGTTTGGTTCTCCTGATCAAGACATCTAAAAATGGGATTTTGTTATCTAGTTCTTCTTCTCTTGTGAATTTGATGTCTTTATTGTCCAGCAGGGGGACGACGAAAGCTGCGCAACAAAACCATACAGCTCAGAAAACACTATTAATTACAAATTACAATTGGATTTTAAACAATTTTTGATGAAATTTTGTGGATAACCCCTCTTTTTGAAGACCGTTTGTAGATGGAAGTTCCATTTTATGTTGAAATGCATAAACAGGTTGGTATGTTCTTCGCTTAAAGCATTGCGGAGGCTAATTTTCTCATTATTATTAATATTATTTCGTCTCCTTGTCCTCTTTGGCCACCTGATCGTCAATATGAAGCGAAGACATCCGTTGATAAGAGTGTGAAGCCGGCTAGAAATGCATCATGTGACTCGCTCAATTATTTCCTTATTTAACGAGAAGAACTGACTGATTTCACATTGGTGTTTAAGATCTGAATTCTACTGCAGCGTGCAGAAAATTTCCAAACTGATTTCAGCGTGATAAATGTCTGTCTTGCCTTTGTGTTCTCTGTATTGACATCTTCATCGGTGTCAGCCGCCCATAGTTGGTGAGATAGCTGCTTTAGATAAGTGAAGGATGTGATCTCGTTGAAAGTTTCTTCCGCTAATGGTGTGACTGGTTGCTTGCTGCTACTTGCTTCTGGTGACAACTGGTTCGTTTTTTGCCCGTAGATTTTCGTTGTGTTTCAATGATACTAGACATAAATCGTCCGTGAAGCCCAGATGTTTTAGAGTTGTATTCATTTTCTCATGACACTGAATTAAGTCTTCAATGTAGAGAATAACTTCTGAGAAGCACGTCAATAGTAGACTAATGGTAGTCTCCTTATAATTATCATACTATATTTTATTGTAATAATCGTATTATTTGCTTTAGGTGTTCATATTATTAAGTTGATAATCGATTTATGTCATATTTAATTCGCCATTCTTGATATTTCTTGAATTCTTTCATTGTCATTTCTTCAGTGATAACATTAATGAAACTAATATGGTTTTCAAAAAAAAAAACATAGATAGCTTATCCTTTGATGTTATATCATTCTCAGGGTTCATATCCTCTTCCTGTAGGGATAGTGAGCTATGAAATCGTTCAGCTTTTGGTATTATAGAAAAAAAGTTAACTTTTTATAGAAGTTTCTTGGAGTTTTGAAACTTGACAATTTGAGGTTTTTTGCAGTGAAGTCATCATTGGTAGTTGCACCTGACATTTAAAGGCAGGGAAATGTTTATATTCAATTTGGTCCTCTTTAGTCTAAATGGTTGGGCCATACCATGAATTGACAGAATCTAGAATTCATGGGCTGATCACTGGGTTGGGTCCCAGTGGCTGTTTAATGGTCTACTAGCTCGCTAGCCTTGTAACCAGAAGGTCCTGAGTTCGAACCTCAGCGGGTGCTTACTATGAAGAGTCTAAAAAACTGGACGAAACAGCTGTCTAGTACTTCCTGGCAGGTTTTCCAATGGTCCTCTAACCGATGTCAGTTCATGATGAAATCCTGACATTAGTCTTCTTTGATATCATAAGTCCAAACATCAAGAATAGTATAGGTATAATCACTAATGATTGGATATAGGATTAGAATGGGCCATGAGGAATCCCAATCACTAGACTCCGAATTACTGGTGTGACACTCTACTAACTGAACTACAATATATGTACCTCCCGACCTGATCATTATTTCCCTATAATCGCTGTGTATGATAGCGAGATGACTGGCTGACTGGTTTATACGTAGAATTTTGCACAGATGTGCATCAGTTCGAGTTGCCACTCTCCTTCAATGTAGCATACAAAGCAAGAGAAGAGAGTAGAGAGAGAGACTCAAAAGAGAAAATGAATAGTCATACGGAAGAACAATAGAGTTTCATTGGAAATTATAAGTCACAAATAGTGGATGAATCTGTGCCAACCATTGAGAATGACGATTTTGAGCCATATCACCGACTGTCTCCAGTCGTCATTGGTTTTTATCCCCATCCCGAGGATCCCATTTAGTCAGGTTGTCTACAACTCCCTGCGTGACTGGTTGGTTTAAACTATCTGTTGGGGATTTATTTGATTGACTGATGAAGCCATGTTTTGGTTCGACCACCACTAGCTAACTCTTTTCCAACCTGAGCCTATGTCAGCTAACATTGCTTGTCAGTCGAGAAAGGCGATGGCTAGGCTAAACATGGGTAACACATCTTGACTATTTCAATCAGTGTTGCTTTACAACCTCGTCGATTGATTTCCCCTCCTCACTTAGCACTCGACTGATGCCTAATCTCAATATTGCTCACTCTATTGCACCACTTAACACAGGAGATAGAACTCAGGTATTTATTATCAAACGGGCCTTTTCATGTCTTCTAATTGCAATGGCCATGTCTCACTCACAGCCATAAAGGAGTACAGAGGGGAATTGATTTGCAGAACACAGATCCTTTGGTCGACAGCCAGCCGGATATCACGTCTACTAAATCAGAGATGGCGTAAGTTGGTGTATGCCAAACGAGTTCACATACCTAGAATATGAATGATACGTTACTGTCTGTTGTAATCATTACACCACTAGCTATTCACCTAGGCCCTCTCCTATCATCCTAAATCATACTAAATTAAAAAGAAAAGAGAAGGTTGTCTAATTGATAGTTTTGACAAACTTCGTACAGTGGTATTCTTTTCAAACCTATTGGTTTGAATCCTGTCGTCATCCAGATTTCCCTTTAATCATCGTTCATCACATCACTATCCGTATGTTAACTCAGCTCTTTGTCAGATAGTCACACTACTGATAATATACGTGTTCTTCAAAAAATAATATGTGCGTCGGTGGTATAGCGGTTACGACGCTCGCCGACCATGCACATGGTCCGGGGTTCGATTCCCGGCCGCTGGACGCACTCCTTCACCTCGCTGAGCCAGAAATAATCCTGGTAAAAATGAAAGGTTGGGCATGAGGCTAGCAACTCCATCCTATAAAATAAACGCTGCTACAGAAACTTCAAGCCACTAGCTTGAAGCTCTATGTTCCACTGGGGAACATGAAGGAAGAAAATACACACTTTCAGGCGACTGCCAACAGTTGTAAAACTCATTTTAAACTGAGCCATCTATCAAGGCTGAAAAACTGTTAATGACTTAGATGGTGTGTAGGATGTTATTGATGAAGTTGAAACCTAATCTCCAAAACATGCATTTTTTTCTGAAAGAAGCCCTCCATTGTTAACATGTTGTGAATGAGACTAGTCAGCATTTTTCAGAAATTGACAACTGTCATTTCATTTGTCCCAATGATAAATTTCTTAAAAATGAGACAAGAAATTACTCATTCGCTTATTTATATTCATAGTAACAGTTGCTGCTTTGGGCCACCATTTTTTGACCGCATATATTTAGCTCAAATGAAACTATGAAAGATGATATTCTAAACTTGATTCATATATTTTATATTCAAGTGTTGGTTTGTAGGGATTTGGTTGATTGGTTACAGGATTTCATCATGAGCTGACATCAGTTAGAGAACCATTGGAAAACCTGCCAGGGAGTACT